CCCCCCCCCACCAAAAAAAATAAAAGAAAAAACCCCAAACCATTTGGATTAAGTTGAGCCTCTACTCTAATATAATTTTGAAATTATATATTTACAAGTGAAGCAAACTTTGGGTTTTAATGTAGTCGAGAAACACTTTGCTTCATCCAAAAAAGACAAGAAGAAGAATTACACATTTGTTCGGCTAAGCTTTTTTTTGTTGTCAAAAGTGTTTTTTTTTTTTTTTGGCCAAAAACACTTTTGACCAAAAATTGAAGTGTTTGACCAAGCTTTTGGAAGGAAAAAATTAGCTTTTGAGGAGAAGCAGAAACAATTTTGGAGAAGTAGAAAAAAGTAGCTTCTCTCCAAAAACACTTTTGAGAAAAATACACTTAAAAGTACTTTTTTAAAGTTTGGTCAAACACTAATTGCTGCTAGAAGTGCTTTTCAAACTAATTAACCAAACATAAACTGCTTCTCACCAAAAATACTTTAAAAAAACACTTTTGAAAAATATACTTCTCAAAATAAGCTGATTTTTGCAGTTTGGCCAAACGGGCTATAAAGCGCATTTTGTAGTAACTTTTGCTACTATAAGCACCACATAATTAAGTATTAAAGTAATTAATCAATATCTCATATTACTGTTCGATTTAATTAATTACTTTGTTACAACCTCTTCTCAAAGGATTTCTACGGGTCTTGTTTTGTTCCGGAAGTAAATTATGGCTTTGGAAAAACCAGATTATTCTTTTTTATTAAGCCCACGATTGATGAGGAAAAAAAAAAAATAATAAGCCCACGATTGANTAGCAACTCCTAATCTGTATTTGGACGCGTTCTGGACTTGATTCCCAATAGTAAATAATGCGGGTTGAATTCGAGTTGAAATGAAATAAGAAGCTATAATTAGTAGTAGTATTAGCTATAATGCATTTTCGTAGAAGAACATTTTTTTTCTTGAGTTTAAGGTAGTATAAGATTAGTGTAATTAATTTTTATATTATCAGCTCACTTAAATGATCATATATACAGATAATTAATCTTCTTAAACTGTGACATTCGGTATCTTAAAAATAAGATACTATAATGATAAAGCTGATCTAATTGATTGGTCTAAAAATTCTTTATACTAATTACGTACACGACTTAAACTCTCTCTTTTTTCACAACAAAAGCATTAAATTCTCTAACTCGGCGGCTTTTAATTACTTCACAGTCAACTGACTTAGTCAAGCTTCACTATTTAATAAGTATATCGAAATACTATATAAATGATCGTCTTCTTACATACTATATCACTCGCTTAGCAAATTAGCCATGGCTCATCACAAGATTTTCTTCTTTTCTTCTCTATTTGTCCTAGCAATATTCACCCAAAAAATCCATGCAGTTGATTACTCTGTGACCAACACGGCCGCAAACACCGCGGGCGGTGCCCGTTTCAATCGAGATATCGGTGCTCAATATAGCCAGCAAACACTGGCAGCTGCTACTTCGTTCATATGGAATACCTTCCAACAGAATTCTCCAGCTGACCGCAAAAATGTGCAAAAGGTAAGCATGTTCGTTGACGACATGGACGGAGTAGCTTACGCTAGCAACAATGAGATTCATGTTAGTGCCAGGTACACAAATACATGAACTCAACATATAATTAAGCAGGGAATGCACGTTTTAAATTCAAAAACAAATATTTACTCTCATACGCGTGTGTATATACAGTAAATTTTATGGATGATCATCCAACTTTTAGCTTCATTACACAAAAGTCATTATTCTTTTTTTTGTCACACAAAAATTATTTAACTTTGTTCCGATTATCACAAAAATCATGCGGATTTGATAAAGTTCCCACTGAAAAAGTGACGTCGCAGCCTTTATTAGTGTTTTATATTGATTAAGAAAGTTAAATATAATATTAAATTATACCTTGACCCATAAAATACTTGACCCAATTGCCCGAATGAAGCTCATTTTTCTCCATACTCTGCACCTGCCATGATTTACCTATGCCTTGACCCATTTTATGTGCAACTTAAGAAAATTTTCAGTTTATTCAGTAAGACTATTTAAAATGCAAAAATGGGATACCTTAAACAGCAAAATAAAAAAGGGACTAAATAAAGTGAAACCATTTCATAATGGTGCATTCTAATATATGTCAAAATGTTGGCTATTAAGCAAGACCAACCCAACAAAATACTGCTTAATAAGCCAACATAAACAGTTAGAATGCATCGCATAGTGAAAACTACAAAATGCACATTTTGTGCCATTCAAACTATATATATTTAATACAAAAACACAAAATACTTCATAACTTCCTAGAGACCCTAGACTTCTTTTTAATCACGGCAGTAACATAGTCGGTCATAATTTTTTTCTTCACACTCCGGCCTCTCTTAGAAACACCAACAACAACAACTTGAGAAACTTCATCACAAATAGCAATTCCAGAAACTTCAACACACACAGCAACTCCAAGTTCAACAACTCCAAGTTCAGCAACAGAACTAGTACACATAGTAGCCACCTGAAAGACCAAAATTTAATTACAACTTACTTAAAATTTAATTAAAGAAGCCACAACAGAACCAACAAACCTCAGTAATAGTAGACTGATTTGTCAAGTTAAAGTTCAGTCCTCCATCTTCGTTAGTACCAGAATTACACCACATTTCAGAGTGGTACAAATTTGAATATCCCCAAAAATCATCATCTTCTTCTTGAGTTGGAATTGTGGTTGTTTCTTTTTGAATTGACATCTGAGCATTTTTTTTGGACAAACTTAGAATGCCCTCTGGCATTATGACTAACTTCTTTACAGATTGAGCAAGTTATGGAAGTGCTGCCCCTTTTTAGACAATTTTCTAGCTGCCATGCTTTTTTTTTGTGCTTGTCTTTTTGGTTCCATCACTCCAGCTTCCTTCCTCCTCGATTTAGCAGGTCTTCCCCTTTTTTTTTCTTGACTAATTTAGGTGGAATTACTATACCATTATTAATAACTTCTGGCCAATACGACTCGGGGTTAGTGGGGTTGATAATAGGCCACTACAAAATTCTCTACTCTCTCATTATTTCCTAAGATACTCACAACACCATGCAGACATGGTAAACCCGTCAAATCCCATCTCCTACATGTACAAGTCCTGACAACCAAATCAACTATGAAGGGCCCTCTAGGACCTTCAACTAGAACCTTCGGACCACCTGAAAAATTTGGTTTAAAAGGTGCACATTCATTTCTGATTTTGTTCATTTTTTTGACAATCTTAGGGCATATCGTCCCTTGGTATCTATCAATCCACTTTTTTTTTTTTCACAATCTCCTCATCAACTGATTTTTTATCATCTCCAACATAGTGATTATGGGCTTATCTCTGGCATCAAGAATATATCTAAAAAAGTTATATTTGTTAGAAGAAATATCTCATTAAAAATTAAAAGGCAGAACTCATAAGAAAATATTTAACAATTATTACCTGTTAAAACTCTCACACAAATTGTTTAATAGCATATCACATTTTATATGAGTCCTGAACATTGATCTAGTCCATGTATTGAAGGGTCTTTCTGGATGATTGAACCATTCTCTAGCAGCCTTGTCCTCATTTTCTAACTCCTCCATGCATTTTCTGAATATCACATTATTGCTTTCCCAAACAGCATTCCAAACCATGCCCTTTAATGCTTTTCCTTTGTGTTTTGTCTTGAAATTTTGGTACATATGCCTCACACAATTTCTATGCTCAGCATTAGGGAATAAGTCTCTAACTGCTGCTATCAAACCCTATAAAAAATAACGATAACAATTTGTTATGCACGTTAACTCAAACAATTAATAAAATTATATAAACATTGGGAAAAATAATTAATCAAAGACTGACCTTTTATCTATCTGATATAAAAGCAATGTGATGGCTATTATTGATCTCCAAATCTTGGCCAAGATTAGCAAGAAACCAACTCCAAGTTTCCCTACTTTCATTTTCAGCTATGACTGTATAAGCTAGTGGGAATATGTAGTCATTCGGGTCTATAGCAATAGCACTCAACAAGTTTCCACCATAATTTCCTTTCAGCCAGCAGCCGTCTAAACTAATTAGTGGCCTACAACCTGATTTATAAGCAACTTTAAGTGCATTAAGGCATACATAGAATCCCAAAAATCTTCCTATCTCTCCAAATAGTGACAGTTGAGCCAGGATTAGATTTTAATAGCTCAGCTAAGAGCCTTGCATATTGAGCACCCTCTTCTCCATATATCCATTTCAAAGCTAACCGTTTGGCCCTCCAAACCTTAGTCTTACTTATGGTATAACTATAATCATCAGTTAGCCTCTTTATGATTCCATTCAAACTCCATGCAGGATCAGCCCTAAAAGTACTGAAATACCTCTTAGCAATCCATTGAGCATCCATATGAAAATTCTGAAACACATACCCACCACTATGTGCCATATCAATAGATTTTATTTGAGCTGTTGGATCCACATTACTCACAACACCAGCATACACCCTAAATGGACAGTCATCTAATTTACAAGCACATATCACCCTCGCCTGGTCATTTGTAGGAAAATAAAGTTGGCACCTATTCTTAATACCCCAATTCCTGCAGGCTTCTTTAAACTGCCCAAGACTTCTAAATTTCTCTCCAAGTTCCAAGCTTGGGTTATACTTATTATTTTCTTCCTCATACTCTGGATATGTCACCTCATCCTCCTCCTTATTTTCTCTATCAGACTTGACATCATTTAGTTCTTTTGATGAGGCAAAATCAGAGTCATATTTGTCATTAAGTTCAGGTATTAGAATACTAGTGGATGATGACAACCTGCTTGCTGTTTTCTTAGGTCTTCCCCTTTTCTTTCTAACATGTGTTTCAACTATTCTATCATTAAAATCATCATCAGACTCAGACAAGTGATAGTCATCATTATTAAAATCATTATCAGACTAATTTGTATCATCCCAAAATTTCCTTTCATTAATTCCACTCAAGAAATGTTCAAATTTCTACATATGAATCAAATAAATAATCATAGTTAGAACCAACAAAAGTAAAAAAAAAATATCATTATGAGAAACCAAAATCAACAAAAAATCAACTTCGGTCTTTGGGAATTATTTCAACATAGATAAGAGAACAAGAAAGACCCATATTCATGCATGAAATACCCTTCAAATAACCCCCCAAAAAGGCCGATTTAAACCCTAAGATTGAGTGTTACAAACCCTAAAACTCTGAAAAATTGATAATGGGCATGTTGTAATTACATATAAATAAACAAGAACAACAAAATAATATTCATGGCAGTTCCTTGAATAACACATAAACAAAGATAAAAAGGGTTTGTTTGTACCTCATGTTCCGCCCTTGTTTTCGTTGGTTGTGTTTCATGGTGGTCCCTTGAAGCAACATATGGCGATAATAGGAGCAAAGAGCTCAGAGAGTTGCTTAATTTATTCCTCGATCTTGAAGAGGATTCCATCTTTTTTAAGGAATATTTTTGTTTCAAGACATTGAGCCCTAAGTGAGGAAGTAACGAAGAGAGAGAATCAATTTTAAGGAGAATGGATAGGTCACGTTTATGTTATGGTGTATAGTGGGTCGGGTATAACTTAGGCGGGTATAATGGGTTTACTATATTAACCCTATTTAATTAAGCACATACGCTAATTAAGGCTGCCATGTCACTTTTCCGGTGGGAACTTTGTCAAATCCGATCAAAATGATTTTTGTGATAACCGGAGCAAAGTTAAATGATTTTTGTGTAACAAAAGAAAGAATAATGACTTTTGTGTAATGAAGCTAAAAGTTCGATAATCATTCATAAAATTTACTCTATGTGTATATGTATATATATAGAGATTAAATAGTACTAACATATGCATATTTCCTTCTATTTTATTTTTATGTATCATAATTTGACTAGACACGATAAAAGACTTTTGAATATTGAAATTTTAGATAAAGTTGTGTATAATGTCATACATCTAAAGTTAAAATATCTTTGAATCTTGTAACCTCAAACATATCATTTCATTCTTATAAGAAAGTGTCATTAATTAATATCAAATCGGAATATTGGAATAAGATACTTACTAAATATCGAAATATAATATTCTTTTCTAAACAAACTAAAAAAACTATATAATCGTATAAAATAGGAGAATATTAAGTTTTGCCTTATAATATCAAAATCTTAAATCCCTCTTTGCAGCTACATCCAAGGTTACTCCGGTGACGTCAGGAGAGAGATTACTGGAGTATTGTACCACGAGAGCACCCACGTTTGACAGTGGAATGGGAATGGTGGGGCTCCAGGCGGTTTAATTGAAGGGATTGCTGATTATGTGAGGCTCAAAGCCGGTTTCGCACCTAGCCACTGGGTGAAACCAGGCCAGGGCGACCGATGGGACCAGGGCTACGATGTGACTGCTCGATTTCTTGATTATTGCAACAGCTTGAGAAATGGGTTCGTGGCACAACTTAACAAAAAGATGAGAACTGGCTATAGTAATCAGTTCTTTATTGACTTGCTGGGGAAGACGGTTGATCAACTTTGGAGTGATTATAAAGCCAAATTTCGCGCATAGCCTAACTAGATCGAAAAGAAGAAACATCATCAATTGCCGTTGTACCAATAAAAGGCTATATGTGTCATGGTCTTGTTGAAGAATTATAGTAACGATAATAATATAAGCACAAGGGGTTAATTAGTTATCTCACTCGTGTGACTGATTAGTTACCAATTCCACTGCATCGGAGGCGGACCCATGCGTTGTTAAGGGGTTAATTAATTACAAGTTATTCCAGTCATATTTTGTGTCGTTACTCATTGTTACACCCCATTTTAAGCTGGTTAAAGTAATGTACAATATATAGGTAATTTTGAGTTTGATTAAAGTAAAAGACAACAACAACAACAACGATCCAGTAAAATCCTACTAGTAGGGTCACCCCTATCCCGATGGAGTACAAAAGACTGTTTCCGGAAGACCCTCGGTTCAAGAAGACGAAAAGAGACAATATCAATACCTTAGGAAAAATAACATCATGAAAATGAGAAAGTAGATGCAAAGCAAAAGCGATAGACAACACATAGACCCGACATTATGGAAAACAAAAGAGTAGTAAGACACACCATTGCCACTAGCTGACATCGAAACAAACCCTACCAGAGACTAGCTTCACAAAGGTACGAAGTAAGGAAAGACTCAACTACATCCTAACCTACAACCCTAATACTCGACCTGTACAGCTTCCTATCAAGGACCATGTCCTCGGAAATCTGAAGCTTCGCCATGTCTTACCTGATCACCTCTCCCCAGTACTTTTTAGGCCGTCATCTACCTCTTCTCGTGCCCTCCAAAGCCAGCCGCTCACACCTCCTTACCGGAGCATCTGGACTTCTCCTTTGTACGTGTCTGAATCATCTGAGCCTCGCCTTCTGTATCTTGTAGATTAAAGTAAAAGAGTCGCCATCTAATTAATTATGGTGAATTAGGACACGTAATGTTAATTAAGCAAACTAGCAAAGTATAACTCTGTTAATGGTCAACTTAACCTAAAGATTCTAGGTAAGGGTTCAATTAATCTAAAGGAAGATTATTAAGGTAGCTTTTAAGATCCACATTAAAATGGTTAACCGACCGGACTAAAATTAATTAAGACCAATTGTTGTATTGTAAAAAAATGATTAATGAGAGAAATAAAAAAAGGTAGTAACTTTGATTTGGAAAAAGGGATTGTTATGAAAAGAGCCAATTTTGAAAGCACGATTTGAAGAAATTCAAAAGACAAAAATCACATGTTGCTTTTAAAATGGATGTTGCTTAAGAATAAAATGAGTTGATGCCAAAACGTCTTATTTTGGGAAGTAAGTACACTTCTGCCATAAAAATAGATTAAGGAACCAAGTAAAACAAATGTGATTGATTTAATACTCAAAAATGTTATGTTTTGTTAAACACCATTGTTTATAGTCACGCCCTCTTTCAATGCATCAGAACTTAAGAAAGAAAACCATGTTTGACTTGGGTAAATAACGAGCTCAGTTGTTTCAAATACTACCCAAAATTAAATTGATCTATCATCCTCACTTCTTAAAGAAAAATAAAATTCCTTCATACCTATGTCATATTCTATGTAAAAAGACATCTTCATTATTTGCTACTAAAAGAGTTAGTCATGACATACCCAAGATCAAAAACAAATACGCCACTAAACAAACGATATTGTTAGTCACAATATTGGAAAAGCAACATAAGCGAAGTAACAATGGAATGATCAAAAGCCGTGTTCGGCTTCCAACAGAATATTTAATTATATTCCAAAATCCGTTGTCTAGATGATGATGCAAAAGCTGAAGAGTGAGGCCATGCGGATTCCATATGGCAACAACGTTGAGTCTCGCATTGAAACTCTTTGTGGCTCCATGGTACATGTAAATAAAGAAAAGAAAAAAAAGAAGGAAATGAATTAGAGAAGAAGAACCAGTTTCTTAACTGTACACGAATGGAATAGGAAAACATTAGCACTTGATTCACCCATAAGCTCAAAAGTCATTTCATACATTACAAACAACAACAACAATAATTCAGTATAATCTCATTAGTGGGGTATGGGAAGGATAGTTTGTACACAGACCTTACCCTTACCTTGGGGATAGAGAGACTGTTTCCGATAGACCCACGACATCCCTCCCTCCAAGAACGATGGTCTTCACCATTAGAGCAACCTACTCTTGCCTTTTCATACGGTACAAAGTAATAACTAAAAGCATGAAACCTTTTTCATTTTTTTGTCTTCTTTCTTTTAATAAGATCCTAGAGAGAGGTCATCTAAATGAAAGCAAATGTAATAGATACAGGGATTGGTAATTCTCTCGATAGAGACATCTTTCGAACTCAAGCAAAAATATTGTCGAAACATATATCTTTAGAATCACCATCTATAATACACACATATTTGTATATACATAGAAAGAAAGCTCAAATTATATTATCTAAAATGGAATTATAGGAAATCGCACACAAATTCCTCTATATTATATCTAGACAAAAACAGAGGGATCAAGACTAAAGACTTGAAGGTCTTACCCCTATAATAGTGTTTAGCATGAGGAACTCAAACTACGGTTTCAATACATACCCAATATTCATTTGTCTTATCTTACGAAACCTAAATGAGTTGAATGGTGGTATGCTAAGGGTCAAATTCTCTTAAATTCCAACAGAATACTATTAAGTCCTAAAGAGTATGTCTAAAGAGTAAATATGTGCTCTTTCTCTATTAGTACTTAATCGTTAACGATGATTCCATATTGTTGATGCCGAAACTTTTAAAATGTTCAAGCATGAACTGTTTTATCTATCAAACGAGCAGACATGTAGATTTCCCTATGTATGGGTCAAAATCTGATCGAGGAAATTCAGCACGAGGAGGTAATTATCGTGAGATTTGTAACTATCATGGACAGTTTGGCCAAGGTCGATCAGTAATCAACAGAACAGGCCGCTGAGCGGCTCATCAGGGACGAGGTCAAGCAACATGGACAGAAGTAACGGCTAGTACCGCTTTGGAACTTTCAAAGGGAATATTTTATTGAATATTCCTTCGTTGTACGTTTTAGGGTTCTTTGGGAATATCCCATATAAATAGTAGGAGAGATAAAACAAAAGACATGTAAGGTTCTATATGATAAGAACTCTTTTGAAAAGTTGACTCTCTAGAAAAATATAAACATTGTCTTTCCAAAGAGATTCGATTTATTATTTATTCTACATTTCTCAAATCAGATCCGAGAAAGCCTCCTATATTCTCATACTCATTTGTCATATATCATTGGAGGAATCATACACACCTCATTCAATATTGGGTGAATCATTCCCTCTATTTACATTTAGTGCCATTTATTGTATTTATTGCTTATCATTATTCTCATCTCATTTATTACCTTAACATTTAATACATATTGCATTAAACCCGTTTTAACGTGGTCCAACATCATCCATTTAAACATATTTTAGATCTAAAGTTATTATCTTTAACTAGGATTAGCCCCTAATCTTTTTATTTAATTAGTTTAATAAAAAGTTTTTACTTTTTGGTCAAATATTTTGGTGTGGGGATTTTCTAGGTAAAGTTTTAGTTTCTTCTAGATCTAAAAAAGTGCAAAAACCCTACGCTTCCTTGTGTACACAAATCTAACATGACAGGCAGTGAAGAGGAAAAGAGGAAAGCAATAGCAGATCTCGCCACCAATCTCCTTCACACCATCAACGAAGTCGATGAACCGGAGGGTATATATATGTGATTTTTGACCCTCCACAAGATTTTACATATTTTAGCATTTAAATGCGTAGTTTAGGTCTAATGTAGTTATTTCAACTAATCTTGACTCTTTTATTTTATTTTTATCACAAAAAATAAAATTACAAAAATAGTTTCATTAATGTTTTGTAGTCATACTATCTTACTAGGATTTTTATTTTTATATAATCTTGAAAAATACCAAAATAGTCTCACAACATAATATTGTTCATTTTAGTTAATAAGGATTAATTTTACATTTTATGGTATTAGTTTAGAAAAGAAATTAATATTTTTGGCCAAATTGTAAGAAGTGTAGAATTAAAAGCCAAATTGAGCCCAAATTCGGACTTGGCCCAAACAAGACAGGCCCAGTACCCATTAAACCCAAGGAATCTTTACATTCCTATGTCATATAGGAAACTATATTACCCTCAATGTTTAAGGTTTGATATAATTACATTTAGTATACCTAATTACAAATTCTATACCATAACGTGTTTTAACTGTACATTAATTGTACCTTATATCACTTCTAAATTTATGGTACCGTATATTCCTCCAAATCCCCACCCCCATGTTTCTCTCTCCCAATCCCACACCCTCACCCACGTATCACCACACGCCCACGTTTCAAACCATTATTCCCTCTGCTAAAACCAGAAAAACAATTGAAACCCTCTACCATTAATGTCCAAAATCAAGGTTTTTTCTTCTATAACCAGTCAAAATTGAAGTCAAATCTTCAAAGTTCATACACAGCAATAACTTTTGATGGTTATGATTTCGGGTTCCTTCAGTAATATAAGAAGGAAGGAAAAGAGAGCAGCAATTCCACCATTGACAGCCATTAAAAAGCTTTGAAACTTTGAATTCAAATTTGGGTTTTCA